CTCCTTGATTTGAGGGTTTGTGTTGAGAAGTCTGCTGTGATTCTGATGGGCTTTCCTTTGTAGGTGATTTGTTTCTTTTCTCTAACTGCGTGTAGGATTTTTTTCTTCTGTTGGGTTTCTGGGATCTTGACTATTGTATGTCTAGATGTAGATTTTTTTTGATCATGGCTAGTTGGAGTTCTATATGCCTCACTTATCTGTGTGTCCAATTCTCTACCTCTGTTTGGGAAGTTTTCCACTATTCAGTAAAGTCAGAAGTCACTCACTCTTTGGTTCACAGCATTCATTTATTCATTGTCATACTGGGGATTGAACCCAGGTCTTTCACACTGAGCTACATTCCCAGGTTCTCCCCGCCCTTTTTATTTTTTAATTTTGAGTCAGGGTCCACTAAGTCATTAAGTTGCCCAGGCTGGGATCGAAGTTGTGATTCTTCTTCCTCAGCCCCCGAGAGTGCTGGGATTGCAGGAGTCAGCCACCATACCCGCCTGGTTCAAAGCTCTTAGATGGCAGGCTGAGAGCAGACAGGACCAAAGAGGGGAAGGTGTCATCCCACAGTGCCGTCCTGTCTGGATGCCATCTGACCCGAAGCAGCCGTTTGGGCTGGGGGTTCTGGCCCCAGCCTCCCTGAAAGGTTTGCTGTTTGTCAGGACATGAAGACTGCAGAAAGCAAGGCCTCTTGCCCACCCTCTCCAGCCAGCCAAGTTCTCTGGGTTTCATTTCTTAAGCTGAGGGATTAGTGTGCTTTCTCTGGGTCTTTTCCTTCAAGTTGCTGTACCAAGGGATTTTCTAATCAGTTGAGTCTCAGTGGAAGTTTTGAGGAAGGGAAAGAATGGGTTTCGTCGAGGCTCCCAAGGGGCAAGGTGGCATGGCCCGGGTGGTCTGTACGATGCCAAGTTAGCCTGTGCCTTAGTGCCCTTTCTTAATGGCTCTTCAGCCTTGCTTCCCACCTGCCAAGTAGCAGTGCTTTTAGGGTGTCAATAATGTGCTTTAGAATTCAAAGTTTTTAATGATTCTTACTCTGCTTTTCTCTGCTTCCAGGTCTCCTTTTGGCCTCTGCTTGCGGGGCTGTTGCTCAGTCCTGGGCCAGTGCCTCTGTGCAGGGACAGGCCCCCGAGGGTGGTGTAATGGAAAAGCTCACGAGTGCCTCTGTGTAACTTCTCACAACAATTTTACATTCACAGGAGAGTGGCAATGTACACCTTTCCCCAGCTTCCCCTGATGTCAGTGTCTGAAGTAACCTGGCACATTGATTAAAAACAGCATCAGTGCCATACCATTAACTAAACTGCATTTGTATTTCCCCACCATCCAGTCACTTTAGCTTTGTGTGTTTTTCAATATCAAAATGCCCTGTGCAGTTGCCTAGAAATCTTGTGTACTAAAACACTGTATATTAAACACACTGTGCCAAGAACCGAGTAATAGACTTGACTTGTCACAAGAAGGGACACAGGAGATACTGGTTCTCCGGCCTCACATCCCATGGGGCTGCCCAGAAGGGAATTAACAGATCCAGGTCCTGCTTCCCAGAGCCCCCTCCAGGGGAGTGGCAGGTGCTGCCAAAGACCAGAGCTGTGACAGCTTGGGCAGCTCTGTTGTCTCCAGACCTCATCTTCCTCTTTTGTGAATTGAGAAAACTGGGCTGTGTCCTGGAGGGCATTTCTGTCTCTAATACCAGCAGCCCTCTGTGCCCAAATCCAAGTTGGGCTGAGGCCACTTATAGCACTAGCTTCTCTTCTCATGCCAGGTAGGGTCACTTGTGGGTCAGCATTTGGACTTGGGTCCCGGAGAAACCTCGGAGCCTTCCCTGGGCCCGTCATTCATGAGCCCAGTGACACTGGTCTCAAAGTCTTCTGGGTAGTGTGTGTATCCACTGGCTGGTCACACTGGTCCTTTGCTGTCAGCAGGGCCACGTCAGAGCCACAGTGGCTCCTGGGCTTCACCTTTGCCCTCAGTCCGTCCTGGTGGCTGGCTTCCTGCCCAGCAGCTGAGTCCTGGGTGTGTAAGGGAGAGTGTGTGTGTATACATGAGTCAACAACCTTTCCCTGGGTCTCAGGCCACTCCTGTCTCTGATTGCAAGAGTCAAGTCTTTCTGCTGCTGTCGGTCCCAGCCAGAGAACTTTGGAACTTCAGCACACAGACAGCAAAGGAAGGCCACAGCCAGGCTCAGTTCCTTGGTGTGGGGGGCCCGCCTTTGGGTTCAGGGTAGGAGTTGGTCAGCCAAGCCCTGCCTGCGCCTCTTTCCATAAATGAAGTTAATAGGAACACAGACACGATCGTATGTTTATGTGGGGCCTTGGCCACTTTGGAAGGCAAAGCCAGGTGCCTGTAGTGCACAAGCTGCAGGCATTTGTCATCTGCCCTCTACAAACTTTTGTTTGCTTCCCCTTATACAGGGGGTTCTGAGAGAGAACTGATTCCTACCCACACCCCCACATTTTCTTCTGACAAAGTTTCTAGACTTCACCCTCTGAGTGGGCTTCCCTGGTGGCATAAGTCACAGAGAACTGCAGGCCACTGCTTGGTGGGCATCAAACACAGACTCAGGCGGCCAGGCTGTTTTTCACGGGGATGGGCCCCAAGGGAAAGCCTCATGTGAGGAGCTCTGGGTTCTCAGAGCCTGCCTCGTATGGCTCTGGTACCTGGGTCCTTGAGACTGTTTGGTCAAAGTAGTTCTTGAGGTGGATCCACTTGAGATATGAGGGCTTATTAGGGTGGGAAGGTGGGGGGCCTGGGCAGGGAGTGTGGAGGTTGTGTAGATGATCTGTGGATCCTGTGTGTCTCCCTCACCTCTTCGCTTCTGCTCCCCAGGCTGGCTCCCATGAGGCTCTACACGCTCTCCAAGCGCCACTTTGTCCTTGTATTCGTGGTCTTCTTCATCTGTTTTGGCCTGACCGTCTTCGTTGGGATCAGAGGTAAGTTCAGTTTTTAAGCATTTCATCATTTTATTATTCATAGGCCCCTTGATGTGTCTTCTCAGCCAGCCCAGCATGCCTCCTTGTTTCCCCTATTGTCCAGTGTAGAGGGAGATGAGCCCTTCTCCCTGAGCTACAAGGCAGATGGAGCCCCTGCGGCTCAGTGAGCAGGGCGAGTATCCCTGGCCATGTCCTGCCCAGCAACCAGAGGCCGCACCTCTGCTTGGCAGCACTGGCAGCCTTGGTCACCAACCTTTTATTGGCCAAGCGAACATTCCTAGTCTGTTGTGCCCTGTGGAATCCAGAATCCACTCCCTGATGGGTAGACCGGCTGCACTGAAGTCTTGATGCAGTGAATAAAGCTGGGGGTAATAGCTATAAGCATGGGTGCAGGTGGAGCAGGGGGTCAGGAGGGTGCTCTGGTGACATCCAGAGCCCTTGGCAGGGCCCCATAAAGATGGCTGGGCAGCAGGATGGTGGTTCCAGCTGGGAGCCTGCAGATGTGCCTTCACCCTTGCCTTCAGGGCACCTTGCTGCTTCATGGCAAGTTGTTTGGAGGGAAGAGCTGTATGTACCATGATGATTTTGGCTTCAAAAATGCATTTGAAATGCTCTAGGCTAGCTACCCTCCTTCCTCTCAGATAGAAAACGCAGAACCACAGACCCAAGTGGCCTTCATTGGTTTTTACAAGGTTCCCAGAAACCTGGGTCTCAGTCCTGTCCAGAAGATGGGCAACAGGAGCCTGACAAATGTTGGAGAGTCTGTTCCTCTTGCATTTCTTTCTTTCTTTTTTTCTTTCCTCTTCCCTCCCCGTCATACTGAGACTTGAACCCAGGAACACTCTATCACTGAGTTATATCCCCAGTCCTTTTTTATTTTGAGATAAGCTCTTGCTAAGTTACCTAAGCTGGTTTTGAACTTAAGATTCTCCTGCCTCAGCCTTCCTTCCAAGCAGCTGGAATTACAGGCCTACCCCACACCTGCCTTCTTTCTTTTCCTTTTAAGTAAAATACCTTTTTTAATTGAGCTTGATTTCTGGTAGCTATTTAATTGATGCACGTAACACCAAAGTGTGAATGACAGTGAGACTTAACCTGTCTCACAAACATCTGAGCTTCAAAAGGCTATTTTCTTACCTAAACTGAAATTTGGGTTGGTGCAGGGACTGAGGAGGCTGAGGGGACAGAGCGGCCATTTTGGTCACTTACCTGATGGTAATGGTGACGATGAAGCTGAGATGATGATGGTAGCAATAGCAACAGCAGTCACCTTCTTTTCCTTCCTCTTAAGTGACCAAAGAGTAAAGACTATGAATCACAGTACAACATTATCTTACTTACTTTCAGATTGGTAGGTTAGGTCTCCGGTCTCAGAGGGACCTCAGCTTTTATTTCTTTAAGCCACGTTATCTCAGATATCCCTGATTATATCCAGTGTTCTCCACTCTGAAATGAAAAGTGATACACTAGGCTGATACCGTAAAAATAATGTCAGGATTTCCACATCGCTTTCCTTCATCTCACAGAATATTGTCTCTGTCTCTGTCTCTCTGTCTGTCTCTGTCTGTCTCTGTTGTAAGGACTGGCTCACACATTACAGAGTCTGAGAAGTCCCAGGGTCAGAGTCAGCAAGCTGGAGAGCCTAGAGTGCAGATGGTATAGAGCAGTTGAGTCTGAAGGCCCGAGAACCAGGATGGCTGATGGTGTAAGTCCAGTCAAATCTGAGTCCAAAAGCAGGAGAAGACTGATGTTCCAGCTGAAGACAGGACCTGAGTAGAGGGAGAAAATACTCCTTTGGCCTTCTTGTTCTGCTTAGACCTTCAGCAGATTTGATGAGGCCCACCTACAGTGGGGAGGACAATTTGCTCATTCAGTCAGCTCATAACGGAAATTCCTCACAGACAGAATGATGTTAACCTTAATATCAAGACCCCCTGTGGCCCAGTCATGTAGACTCTTGAAATATCTATCACAAGTACTCTCTTCCTAATACTTTGTATGGTAAGGTTGTTTAAGAGTACTTTAGGTACCACTGGGTTAGTCACCTTCATTTTGCTTAAGGATAATGAGATACAGAAAGCCTAGTTAGCTAAGATAGGGTCCAAGTTCTGATTGCCATTTCTTAGTTCTTTCCAGGGAGCCAGGCTATCTTACTGGTTAGGAGACTCTTCAGATTGTGAATCTGTTTAAAAAGCCTCGTTGTGGGGCCAGGGATTTAGCTCAGTGGTTCTGCCGCCTGCCTCGCAAGCTCAAGGACCGGAGGTAGATCCCCTGTACCAAAAAAAAAAAGCCTCATTGTGGGTACAGGCTTCCTTTCTACATGGAGACATCATCTCAGTGTGTTCACGAACATATTCCAGAGACATGTCACCGCACTGCCTGGGGTTCACAAGACATAGCCCTTGTGTTCAGATGGAAGATTGTTGGCTGCAGGCTGGGGTGGCCATTGAGGCAGTCCAGAGAACTGGCATCACAGTTTAAGAAAGATATGCTTTAGGGCCGGGAGTTTAGCTCAGTGGTGTCGCCACCTGCCTCACAAGCGCAAGGACCCGAGTTTGATCCCTGGTACCAAAAAAAAAAAAGATATGCTTTAGAACAAATCCAGTTATACATTAATGTCAGATTAACAGTGTTTCCCTTTAGCTACTACTTTAAAGGCCAAAGTTCTGAGGGATTACAGTGAGAATTAGAATCTGTGAATCATGGAGAGGATTCTGAGAGAATAGTGGAGTTGGAAGGAATCTAACTGCCCATCTAGACAATATCAGAGTCAGAATGTATTTATGTAACTATTTTGGAACACTGGAGTCTATTGAAGCCTTGAAACTTCCAGGGGAGGGTTTGGGCTTTAAGTTATGGTTAGTTTCAGTCAATGTAGCTTTTAACACAATAGCAGGTACCTGTGTCCCACCTGCATACAACTTGTGGGAGCCAAAGTGGGCAGAAACGATCCTGTCTTCCTACCACTGGGGATCTGTGCCCTGGTCATTGATTGCTGCTTCTGATGAGAGGTACCAACAAGGTTGGACATTCATTGTTGTCCCCACCCTTCAATGTTACAAGCCCCACCCTCTCTAGCTGAAGTGATTTCCAGGGAATTTAAAGAGCTAGTGGTTCTCTCCCAATCTCCTTCATATATTTATCCCACCCCCCAGCCTCTTTTGGGAGCCAGACATGGAAAACTAAGAGATTCAAAAGCAGCTACATGTGCAGGAGAAATTAGGAAAGCACCACATCTGTCCAAAGAAAGACAGGTTCAGGAAGGACCTGAGAGGATGTTAAATTTACACCTCAGACTCCAATGACAACCAACCAGCCAACCAAACAGAAAACCTTGGGGAAGGGTGAGAATCTAATTTTTAGGAGTGCCACATTATTTAGATTTATGTGTCCAGCTTTCAGCAACAAGTCACGTGGCAAACCAAAACCAAATGAATCCCTAAAGTATGTGGCAGATCTATTTGACGAAGACTAAGACAGCTGTCTTAATGATGCTGAAAGAACTGAAGGAAGGTATGGACAAACTCAAGAGGACAATGCATAGACAAAATAGAAAAATCATTAAAGAGTTTAAAAACCTAAAAAGTAACCAAAAAAATTCTGGAGTTGAAAGTTGTAATAACTGAAGTGAAAAATTCACTAGAGGAATTCAAAGACAGATTTAAATAGGCAAAGGAAAGATTTAGCAAACCTGAAGATGGGCTAATGAAACTTTTCTATTGTGAGGAACAGAAAAAAAAATTGATTGAAGATATGTCCTTTAACATACACATACATGCACATTGGTGGACTCTCAGAAGGAGAAGAGAGAAGAAAGGGTGGCGAGAATATTTGATAGATGAAAATCCCCAAATTTGATGAAAGATGAGAATATAAACATTCAACAAACTCAGCAGGCTCAAAGTGAGTTGAACTCAAAGGGTCCCACATTTAGACACATTTTAATCAAACTACAGGAAGCCAAAACAAAAAGGATCCTGAAAACAGCAAGAAGGACTCATCACATACAAGAGCTCTTCAATATGGCTGTTAGCAGAAACCTCTTCAGAAACTTTGGTGCCCCGAAGGCAGTAGGCTGTTGTATTTGAACTGCTAAAAGAGTGGTCAGTCAGGAATCTGTATCTGAGAAAACTGTCCTTTAAAAGTGAGAGAGAAACTAAGACTTACCCAGATAAACTAAAGTTGAGCGAGTTACTGCTAGACCTGCCCTATATGACTGCTAAAGGGAGATCTGAGACACTAGGCAGTAATTCGAAACCATATACTCTCAGTAAAGGTAATTATGTGGATAATTATAAAAGCTCATGTTATCCTAACAATAGTGTTAGAATACTATTTGTTTCCTACATGATTTAAGAGACTAATACTCTATTTAAAAAAAACTAATTATGGGCCGGGGATTTAGCTCAGTGGTGCCACTGCCTGCCTCGAAAGCACAAGGTCCTGAGTTTAATCCCCAATACCAAAAAAAACAAAAAAACAAAAAAACTAATTATTAGTATTATTTTGTGATTTGTAATTCTATATTTTGCATAATTTAAGAGACTAGTACAGTAAAATTATTTTATGCTTTTGGATATAAAACAACATTTACACATAAAAAGTTGTCACAATTGTGACATTAACAGTTGGAAGATATGAGGGGAGACCTGTTAAAGGAGCAGAGTTTTTGGATGTTACTGATGCTAAGCTGGTATAAATTCAAATTAGAATGTTATAACTTTTAGATGGTAAATGAGGAACAGAAAAGGTATGAGGCATATAGAACACAAATGCGTATAAGCCAAGGCATACAGAAAACAAAGTGACAGAATAAGCCCCTCCTAATCTGTAATTACTTTAAATGTAAATGGATCAAACTTTGCAATCAGAAACCAGAATGGATTTTTTAAAACATCATCTAGATTACATTTTCTCTATAGAAAATTTACTTCGGATCCAAAGACACGGATAAGTAGAAGTGAAGTGGTAGAAAAGAATATTCTATGTGAGTAGCACCA